GGATGTCCTTCTCGTTCTTCTTCAGTGGCTCCACAAGGCCGACGCACGGCTTCGTCGCGAGGGTCGCCAGGAACGCCTCGCCCGACCTCTCCTGCTCCAGCGCCCTGCTCTTGGCCAGCGCCAGCTTCTTCTGAAGCCTCGCTGGCACGGGCGCCATGGGCAGGTCCGCGTCCCTCACCGTCGGCATGGCGCTGCCGCGCGAGGCGGCCGTGGCCTTGTCTTAGGTCGGGCATGTCCTCCTACAGGGGAATGTTGGACGAGAGATAAAAAGGCAATCCAAAAACATGCTTCAGATTGGACAAACACATGTTCGAAAAGTCCCCCCCAGACTATGCGTGTTGACGATGTTACATATATATATATATACATACATACATGCATGCATGCATACATACATACATGCATGCATGCACACGTGGAGTACGAGCGACACACACATACACACGTGCATACACACATACATTTATACATACATACATACATGCATACATACATACATACATACATACATATATACATACATACATACATGCATGCATGCATACATACATACATACATACATACACACACATACATACATACATACATACATACATACATACATACATACATACATACATACATGCATGCATACATACATACATGCAATTGTACACATATACATGCATACAGCCATACACACATACTTACACACATACATATATACATACAGACAGGCAGACATACATACCTTTCTACGTACACAATACATACATCCATACACACATACATACAACCAACCACACATACATGGATGGATGGATGTATGGATGCATGCACGTATGTATGTATGTATGTATGCATGTATGTAGGTATATATGTATGTATGGATGCATGTGTGTATGTATGTATGTATGTATGTATGTATGTATGTATGTATGTATGTATGGATGTATGTATGTATGTATGTGTGTGTATGTATGTATGTATGTATGTATGTATGTATGTATGTATGTATGTATGTATGTATGTATATAACAGTATGTATGTGTGTATTTATGTATGTATGTATGTAGGCATGCATGCATGCATGCATGCATGCATGTATGTATGGATGGATGGATGTATGTATGTATGTATGTATGTATGTATGTATGTATGTATGTATGTATGAATGTATGTGTGTATGTATGAATGTATGTATGTATGTATGTATGTATGTATGTATGTGAGTTTGTATGTTTGTAAGTATGTATGTATATATGCATGTATGAAATATGGATGTATGTATGTATATACTCCTCCTGTAGAGGGACGTGCCCGACTTGAGCCTTGTCCCAGATCTTCGCGCTGTGGTCGAGGGGCATGTATGTATGGATGGATGGATGTATGTATGTATGTATGTATGTATGTATGTATGTATGTATGTATGTATGAATGTATGTGTGTATGTATGAATGTATGTATGTATGTATGTATGTATGTATGTATGTGAGTTTGTATGTTTGTAAGTATGTATGTATATATGCATGTATGAAATATGGATGTATGTATGTATATACTCCTCCTGTAGAGGGACGTGCCCGACTTGAGCCTTGTCCCAGATCTTCGCGCTGTGGTCGAGGGGCGGGTTGTGCGCGAACGGCGCCAGGTCCACGCCAGGGTGCCAGAAGTACTCCAGCTCGGGCGGGGCCCTTTGGCGGGGGCAGCGGGGGGAGCAGCCCAGCACCGCCCAGGCCTCCGCGGGGGCCGCCCCCCGGAGGCCCTGGCCCTGGCCCTGGCTTTAGCGTGTGCGTGTGTGTGCATCGTCCTCTTCCTCCTCCTCCTCCTCCTCCTCCTCCGCCTCCTCCTCCTCCTTCCTCCGCCTCTCCGCCTCCTCCTGCCTGTTGTCCCCATGCACCTCCCGTCCTCGCTTCCTCCTCCTCCTCCTCCTCCTCCTCCTCCTCCTCCTCCTCCACCTCCTCCTCCAATAATCCTCCTCCTCCTCCTCCTCCTCCTCCTCCTCCTCCTCCTCCTCCTCCTCCTCCTCCTCCTCCTCCTCCTAAGACGAAGCCAGGACGAGGACAGAATCGGGCAAGGATACATCGAGAATCCCTGAGATCGGGCGGATCTGGAGGAGGTCTCGGGCGCCGCGGCCGCCTCGGAGCGCTCTGGAACGCTCTGAGAGCGCTCCGGAACGCTCTGGAACGGATCTGGCCTCGTTGCAGACCCGTCCGAGTATGGCCTCTGGGCCAGGCTGGCGGCCGAATCGAGACCTGGGTCCAAGCCAGACCCAGGAGGCGTGGCGGCACTGGTCAGCATCTGAGGGGGCACGATAGGAGGGGGGGGGTGCGGGGAGGCTGGCTCTCGGGGGGGAAGCGTCGAGCTGGAGTCAGCGATACATCGCGCACGGATCAGATAGCGAATCCACACGCTCCTGGGCGGGGTGGGGCTATCGGGCCCGCATCGCCGAGCAAAGAGCGATTGGGGGACGATGCATCCCCCCCTGAGCCTCTTCCCCCCCCTGGCGCTGCCGCTGAGCATCCCTCCCCCGACCTGAACGGGTTGCCCGCCTCCGCATCGCCGCCAGCAGTCGCCATGGCAGCCGCAGCGCCCGCGCGCCCCCAGCCGGGGCGCGGTGGGCTGGGAAGATCCGCCCGCTTGGTCTGGCCGGAGGCGGCTGCGGCAGCGGCCTCCCCGCCTCCTCAGGCGGAAGCCACATCCGCACTGGTGTGTCTGTTGGAGACTGCGCACACGAAAGTGCGCGGCGCCAAGGCGGGCGCAGCATGCTGAAAACCAGGCGCCCCGATGCGGCTGCTGGCAAATGTCAGGCCTCATGATCATGAGCGGCGAGGAGGCCTCCATCGAAACGCACGGCCCGCCCCACAGACACACGTTCGACGGCTTGACGAGGGGGAGCGAGCTACAAGGACGAGGGGGGGGAAGGGGGAGATCGATCATAGAGGCAGAACAAACGGCGTGAACATAAATAAACTTTCGGCGCTCCAAGCGGTTTTCTTGGATCTGCGCTGGACCCCCTCCCTGGCGCGCGGAGCGCGCCGGGGGCGGCGCCAGAGGCGCCACCGGGGGAGCCCAACGCGGATCCAAGAAATCCGCGCGGAGCGCCAAAAGTTTCTGTTCTCGCCGATTTTTCTTCTTCGAGATCAGAAGCAGCAGAAGCGTTAGGTCGGGCATGTCCCCCTACAGGCGGATCTTGGACGAAAACTCAAGAATAGTCAACAAAAAGTATCGCCAAGAAGCCCAAAAAAATAGAAAATTCGTCCCCACATTATTTTTTAACTACTTTTGAACATTCCTCCTGTAGAGGGACAGGCACGACTTGCCGGGGTCCACCAAAGGGGGGGGCCCTGAGGGGGGGGAGTTCGATCCGCTGGTGAATCGAATTTCCGAAAAACGATGCCCCCCGCGCGCCCCGATTCTCGACGCCTATCGGGCTCCGGCGGCGGCCGGAGGCCTCGTTCTGCAGCGTCTGTTCTGCGGCTCGCTGCGCCGACGGACCGAACTCACCCCCCCCCTGTGGCACCCCCCCCGTTTGCGAGGTCCCGAACTTCACAGATAGGGGGCCACTTGCGAACCCTACCCCAACCCCTCACGATTTCTCAGGGGGAGGGTGGGGTTCACTTCGTTCGGGAGCTCCCGAGCGAAGTGAACCCCACCCTCCCGCCTTCACGAATTGGTGGGGTAAGGGTAGGGTTCGCATGTGGCCCCCTAACAGAAGCGCCGCGGCCTTCCTCGGCGCGGCCGCGGCCTCCGACGCTCCCCCCCTCCGGCACGCCCGCCGCGGCGCCGGGGGGCCCGGGCCGCCCCGGAGGAGGCGCCGCGCGCGGCGAGGGCGCGCGGCGCGGGCGAGCGCGGCAGTGGGCGGCGGCTGAGAGGCCAGAGGCCGCCGGCGGCCGTCGGCCGGCGCCGACGCGCCGCTGCACGTCGGTCGGAAGGAGGGCGGAGAGAGCAGACGGGGGTCAGCAGAGGCAAGGAGAGCTGCGTGCAGCTGGGGCCTCCTCCTCCTCCGCCTCCTCTCCGCCTCCTCCTCCTCCTCCTCCTCCTCCTCCTCCTCCTCCTCCTCCTCCTACTCCGCCTCCTCCTGGTAGCAGCATGAGGTGGGAGGGCGGATACAGCAGATTGGAGCCAGGCCCCCCCATAGAAGAGCAAAACACAGCAAGAGCAGATCGGCTCTTGAGGCAGGAGAGCGCTTGACATGGACTGGGATCTGAGAGTCCAAGAATGCCTGCTTTTTCGACGACCGGCGCGCAGCAGGGCCACACGCAGGAGGTCCCCCCCCCCCGCAGCTCTCGGGCCAGGGCCTCCGCGGCCAGGGCCTGGACCTCTCCCAGACCCCTGACGCCGTGATTTTGGTCACAGCGTCGGGGGCGGCCAAGAGGGGGTCGTCCAAGAGGCGGGGCTGCAAGCCATGACCGGCGGCATGTGCGCCGCCCGGGGGGGGGGGGGCTGGGGACGTAACTGAAATATGAAAAACACGCCAGCCCCCCCGCCCCCCTAGTCATCACCCCCCCTCTCCAGCCGAACCCCGACAGCCTCCCCCGGCCCCATGACTCGCTTCATCTCACCCGGAGCGGTTGCTTGCTGACGGCCCCCGAGGCCCGACCAGGGCCCCCCCCGAGCCGAAGCGAGCGAACGCCGAAGCGAGCGAACAAAAAAACCTCCCGCCGCGGTGCTCCTCGCCACGCGAGGGGCTCTGGGCCCGCAGGAGGCCCGCCCCCGCGGCTCCCCCCCCCCCCGCGGCCCGAGGCCCAGCCCTCCTCGGCACCTGGAGGCGCTCACGCGCCCCCCGCTTCTCCCCGGCGCGTGGCCCCCGGGGGGGGGCCCGCCTCCGGGCCCCGGGGCCCTCGAGACGGCTGGCCCGCAGCGCGGGGCCCCGGCCCCAGCAGGGAGAGGCCCAGGCCCAGCCCGCTCGTTGGCGCCCGCTCCATGGGAGCCTGCGCGGCCCCCGGCGCTGCCCAAGCCGGGCCCGATCCGGACAGGACTCGGCACGAATTTGGACCGGATCTGGGCCAGACTTGGACTGGATTCGTGGGGGCCAGGAGGAGGAGGAGGAGGAGGAGGAGGAGGAGGAGGAGGGGGCACAGGAGGGGAGAGGAGGAGCAGGAGGATGGGCCAAATGCAGTGGTCCCCACGCGGTCCACATGCAGGAAAAGCTGAGTTCAGCGTCGCCGCCCAAGGCTCCCATGAAGAGACATCGAACCCCTCGCGCTGTGAAAGAATCACGACGGGAGTTTTCCCGCTGTTTGCGCCCCCTGGGGGTCCTCCCCGGGCCGCGGGACCGTCAAAGAACGACTCGGTCCCGGGGAGTGGGTCGGGTCTGCGGGGGGCCACATGCGAACCCTACCCCTACCCTCCACGATTTCGGAGGGGGAGGGGGGGGTTCGCGTCGTTCGGGAGCTCCCGAGCGAAGTGACCCCCCCCCATCAGAAATCGTGGGGGGTAGGGGTCGGGTTCGCATGTGGCCCCCTAGGTCTGGGCCCAGAGCTCCGCCAGCGCCAGCGTCGCCCAAAAAAAACAGCCAGAAGCGCCCGAGCAGCAAGCAGGGGCGAAGAGGCGGGGGCGAGGAGCGGGCGGGCCGGCCACAGGGGGACCCGCGGTGAGGGCACGACGACAGGGGGGGGGGGCACCTCCAGTGCACTCTGGTCACCAGGGGGGCAGGGGCACGTCCGGACCAAAAAAAGGCAGCCGTCGCTGGGGCGAGGGCACGATTCCTGCATGGACTGGGGCAGGGACTCGGGCGGAGCGGCCGCCGGACCAGGCGATCTCGGGGGGCGGCTTCGGGCTCCCCGCCCCCACTGCGGGACTCCCACTGCCGCCTTTGACTCGGCAGCGACACGCTGTTGGGGGAAAGGACCAAAAACAGCATCGAAGCACATTCTTGAAGCATCACTTTGACTTCCCAAGCAATGTCTGCGCTTGGGGCTTCCTACTTGTTCCCAGGAACTTGGCCGTGCCTTCGGTGTGGCGGCCGTGTGGCCGCCGTCGTCGCCGCCTCGTCGCAGCCTCGTCGCCGCCCGTCGTCTGGGCCGTGTCTTCGGTCGGGCGGCTGTGTGGGCGCCGTCGCCGCCTCGTCGCCGCCTCGTCGCCGCCCGTCGTCTGGGCCTGTTTGCTGCTCTGGCGGCTCCGCCCCGTCGCCGCCTCGTCGTCGCCTCGTCGCCGCCTCGCATACTTGCACCACATGTATTCGATCTTCCTGTCGCAGAAACTCAAGATATACCACCACCACCCAAGGCCGAAATTGTCGACCCCACCTACGGATGTGCAGCTTACGTACGGTTCTGCCCCAACGTTCATGTTGAATATGGATTCGCACCATCCTAACCAAACCGGATTCGACCCCTCCCCCACTTTCTTCTGCAAAAAATACGCGTAATTATTTTAATCTTTAAAATTTATAAAAACTTAAAAATTATATAAAATAAATATTTTTATTAGTAAAAAAATGTATGCTATTTAAATTCATTATTATATTTTTTCTTTGTATATTAATTTTTAATTATATTGTTTGGTTAATTTATATTTTTTTCTATCCTTTAAATATGTATGTATACATCTTTTTTAGATAGTTAAATTAATGATTATTTTTTTTTTTATTAATCTAGATTAATCTAAATAGGTTTTTTTGAATTTTATTTTTTTTGAATTAATTTTGTTCTTTTGTATGTAAGATTAATGTTTTTAAAAAATTGTAGTTCTTGATAATGGTTGTGGTTATTGTTTTTAATTGATTTAGTAATTTTATTTTGATCAGGTGTTAGATAAGTTGTATTTTTTGATTTGAAATTTTTAAAATTTTTTTTTCGACGCGAGCGTTCACCAAGAACTGCCAACGTTCAACCATCCCTTTGCAAAAAAAAACGACGAAGTGCTCACGCGCGCGTCGTCGCGAGCATGCCGAAATTCTGAGAGAAAAACAAAAAAAAAAAGCGTCGCAAGAGGTCAAAATCGAGCGTCCCCGAAACATGAACTAGTCTTAAACAGATACAACACAACATGCGGCTGCGTCGGCCGCGCCAGACTAGCTGGCCGCTCTGCGCGCGAGCCCGCGCGCGCAGGCGCGGCCGCAGGAATGCGCCACCGAGCGCCAAGCAGCCATTGCAATCGCCGCCGCGTGGGGTTTGCAGGCCAAGTTGCGGGCGGGTGGGCGGGAGGGATGATTGCGCGAACAATGGAGTTGACAACTTCAAGTTCGGCAGGGCGAACTGCACCACATAGATTTCCTTTCCTTTAACATATCAGATTCTACCCCCACCACCCCCCCGGATTGATCGGCCGGGCCTCGTGCATTGCATTTTACATATGAGTACGCCTCCTTGTTCATTTTCCCCATGAGTCCATACCATCCCAGTCAGGCCGGAGTTCGCCCCCCCCCCATCCTCTAAAAAAGTATGATGCGCGCACACTCGTTTACAAAAATCGCCTGCTTTCAAAGAATCCCTTGCCATAAAAAGGCGAAGTGCGCACGCGCGCGCCGTCGCGCGCGCATGCCTAAATGCGTCAAAAACCTCAGGGACAGCAAAGATTTCAAACTCGAGCTGAAACCACATGGCTTCGCAACAAGGGTTTTCCCAAAAAAGCCTGCGCCCGCGCTCTTGCGAATCCTTTAAAACACCACAGGTTCTGCAAAAAACCCACGAAGTGCTACCACGCGGGCCTCCTGCGCGCGCATGTCGACGTTGCTCGAGCGCCCTTGCGCGCGTGCTGTCGCGAGAATCCCCTACCAAAAATTTGCCGTGGGTGCGCGCGTCGTCTCGCGCGAATGTCGACATCCTTCGAAAAACGTGGGTTGCGCAAAAATCCCACCAGCCCTCTGGGCGTCGGTGGTTTAGAGCGTTTCCTCTTCCACCCCTCCTTCCCCTTCGGGGCGGGGCTTACCCTCCCTTTACCCCCTCCACTGGACCTGGACAGGGGGGGCCCGCGAGTCGTCGGGGCGTCCAAAACGGCCTCGGCGAGGAAGCCAAAATCATTGGCTCTACCAGGGTGTTGGCCCCATTTTAGCCTCCCGAGGGGGGGCTGTAATTTTGGATGCTCGTTCTGGGGACCTTCCTGGAGCCACTCGCTCCACTCGTGCGTCGAAGCTGCGTCGAAAGTCAGTCGAGTTGGGTCGACCCTGAGTCGAACCTGAGTCGAACCTGAGTCGAACTTGAGTAGAACTTGAGTCGAACTTGAGTCGAACTGGGGTCGAACAGATCCGTTAGGTGGGCTCCAGGAAGGTCCCCGAAACGAGCATCGAAGTAATTAGCACCCCCCCCTCCTGTGATCAGATGGCCCCGACATGGCCCCCGAGGCTCCCGAGGGTGCCCCTAAGAGGGCCACAAGAGGTGGCCAGGGAAGCCCAAAGAGGCCCCCGGGTTGCCCCCCAAGACGCTCCCAAGACACCCCCAAGAGGCCCCAAGAGACCCCCCCCTCCGAGGCACCCAAGATGTTCCAAGAGGCCTCGGCGAGAATGCCAAATCATTGATTTTACTAGCGTGTTCGCCACATGTTGGCCTCTTGGGGGGGCCCTGATTAAGATTACTCCAAGAGCGCCTGGAAGAGCCCAAGATGACCTCCAAGATGGCTCCAGATACCCCAAGATGTCTCATAATGGTTTCCTCTGTGAGCTGCCCACTTCCCTGATCGAGGCAATTCCTCTGGGCATCGTTTCTGGATGGACTGGTGGGGATTCGCGAAGCATCAACACTTGAAAACAAATGCCCCGAAAACTTCAAAACACATGGCATTGCAACATCAATGTTCAAAAATGCCTGCGCTCGCGGTATTACGGATTCTTCAGATAACCGACGTTTTCCCCACATGTTCATCACATTATGTCAAAAGGGCCTATCGCGTCACAGGTCGCATTCAATCGACCGCCCTTGCGCGCGCTGGGGGGGGGGGGCGCGATCCGCGTCGAATAAGATCACGCGGGCCACTCGCGCGCGTCGGCCGCGCGCGCACGTCGAACTCCTCCAAAAGCCTGCATCGCCGACGCGGGGACATCGTCAGTATCATCGGCGGGCGTGATCAGCATCGGCGCCGTCATTAGCCTCGCCGTCGCCATCGCCACCATCGCAAACATCATCGCCTCTCTCACCATCACGCCCACCGCCTTCGGCGCCGCCACGATACCGCGCACGCCCAAGTCACCGACTCGCACTGAAATGACCACTGGGAAGCGGCCAACGGTCAGCGCCACCGCGGGCGCGCCGGTCGCGCCGAACCAGCTTGCCGCTGCGCGCGCGAGCATGCGCGGGCTAGCGCGGCCGCAGAGATGCACCAACCAAACACTAGGCACTCGTCGCAATCGCCGCCGCATGGGTTTTGCAAACCAAGTTTCGGGCGGGTGGGCGGGGCGTTTGCAAGAGCATGGAATGCTTCAAATCGCTTGTAAAAACCAGTTGCACCAAACAGATCGTAACACATGGATTGCACAACGTAGGCCGCACCGCATATATGGCACCACGTAGATCGCACAACATAGATTCCAACACGTAGGTTCTCCTTCCTAATAGAATAATAGTATCTACCCCCCACCCCACCCGGGGGTAAATGGTGGACGCTTTCTTATTGCAATTTACATACGATTCTGCTCCTTCGTCCATCCGAGATATGAACTCATACCATCCCAGCCAGGCTGGAGCCCCCCCCCTCCCTTTTCATCTGCAAACAAAACACTTCAAAACACATGGTTTAGCAACTAAGGTTTTCAAAGAAACCTGCGCCCGCCTTCTTGCGAATTCTCCAAAAAAAAAAAAAAAAAAAAAAAAAAAAAAAAAAAAAAAAAAAAACATTTCACAACATGCTACCAAACGGGCCTCTCGCGCGCGCATGTCGAATTCATTCGAACGCCCTCTCGAGCGCGCTGCCGCAAAAAAACCCAAGAGAAAAACGAGGCGACGCGAACGCGCGCGCGCGCGTCGTCGCGCACGCATGCCGAAATCATTCAAAATCCACGGGTTTCGCCTGGATCTCAAGAATGAGCGCCCCGAGAACACACACACACACACACACAAACACACACACACACACACACACCAC